CATTTTCCCTAACAAGGGAAAATACTGCAATAAAAATTCATAGGCTTAAACCCTTTGTCCCTATTTGATGACTCTCGAGAAATTCTCAATTGAAATACAAAGTCGACTTTTGTTATATCATCACTGTATATTTTGAGCCCTTACTGGGATCCATTTCAAAGACATTTTTGGGCACGACTTTTGTTTTTCAATATTTCAATACTGAACTAATTCACTATTTGTAAACTAGTTTGGTCATAAAGATTTGCAAATAGTGAACTTCAAGTGAAATATCAAAACAATGGGTTTAATTGTGTATTTCTAAGTGAAATGCTAGTTTGCACTCATGAATCTTTATTTTTTTTTTACAGTAAATGTAATTTTATAAGTGAACAATGCAAACATACATCAAAAAGAGTTGTTATTATGTGTTTCAGTCATGATATTCCAATTTCAACATATGAATATACTTAGTTTAGGTAAAAAAAAAATATCTTTTTATTCATATGGGTTAATTCTAACTTCAAACTTCATTACAATGATATGTTTTTATTCTTTTCTTGTTGTTCTGTTTTTTTTTTTTTGGGTAATTTATTTTGAAATTATCATTTGGAACTATCATTTCTACTTTTTAGGGAAAACCCCCTATGCGTGTAGCTATTCTTGGTTTCTGTTTTGGGTTTTCTTATATGATTTTTGGGTCTTTGAGAAATCAGCATGAAAGCAGTTAGGTATATGACTATATGAGTGGGGGGAATATTCTTAAATTTCTGCTTAGTTAAAGGATGATTCCTGCAATTTACTTCTATAGAAGAAATTTGAAATTCCACGTTTTGTTATTATGGAGATGTTAATAGAACCAAATATTGTAATTAGTTGAATATAAAATTTAATGTAAGACGGATGTCTTGAAATAATTGTAGATTACGTGTGAAGGTGTAACATGGCTTGACAATAATAACAACATTTGTTTCTGTTGGTAACAATGACTCTTTTGAGTAATATATTGTGTTAAATATCTTGGATTTATTTGTGTAGATGGATCTTGTATATCGTAGATGAATGTATAATCGGACTTATCCTAATCGTAGTGGGTTGAGGGAGAAATTTATAGAAGGGGTTGCTGAATTTATGGCTAAAGCGAAAACACTTCATGAATTTCTCAGTGAAGGGATGATTAGGTGCCCTTGTGTCAAATGCAAGTGTGCAAAGCTATTACAGCCAGATGTTGTTAAAATTCATCTTTATAAAAAAAAGTTTATGGAAAATTATTACGTGTGGACTATTCATGGAGAGGATGTTGCTAGTGTTGGTGATGTCGATTTTCAAACTTTTTTTGGTAGTGAGGGTAGTCCATTAGCGGAGAATAATTTTGAAAACTCTCGATCTAATGAAATGGTTAGAGATGCTTTTGTGATGCACCCGAGGGCTCAGTCTGAACCAAATGATGATGCTAAGCGCTTCTATGAACAGTTAAAAGAAGCTAGTCGTCCATTGTATGAAGGTTCAATGCATTCTAAGTTGTCTGTTGTGGTTAGATTATTAAGTATTAAATCCTATTCGAGTATTTCTCAAGCAGGCATGGACTCTATCATTGGCCTTGTGAATGAACTTAATATGAATAAAATTGACCTACCCAAAGATTTCTACACAGCAAAGAAATTGGTTTCTAAGTTAGGACTTTCATCAGAGAGGATTGACTGTTGTGAGAAAGGCTGCATGTTATTCTATAAGGATGATGCATCTTTAGAAAATTGTAAATTTTGTAACCAACCTCGTTACAAGGAGGTCATAAATTCCAAAAAGAAGAAGGTTCCAGTTAAGGCAATGCATTACTTACTCCTTATACCTAGGTTAAAGAGGTTATATGCATTAATGAGCTCTGCTCCTCATATGAGATGGCACTATGAAAATAGAAGGCCACCTGGTATTCTGTGTCATCCGTCGGATGGAGAAGCATGGAAGCATTTTGATAGAGTATTCCCAGATTTTACTAATGAACCAAGAAATATTAGGTTGGGTTTATGTGCTGATGGATTCACTCCATTTTCTGTCTCTGCTGAACCATATTCATGTTGGCCAGTGTTTGTTACGACGTATAATCTTCCTCCTGAGTTATGTATGACAAGTCCATATTTGTTCCTAACTTGCATTATTCCAGGTCCACGCAATCCGAAAAGATTGATTGATTTATACTTGCAACCTTTAATTGATGAGTTAAAGTTATTGTGGCATGAAGGTGTGGAAGCATATGATATATCAACTAAACAAAACTTCAGATTGCATGCTGCTTTGATGTGGACTATAAATGATTTTTCTGCTTATGGAATATTATCCGGGTAGTCGACTGCGGGAAAGTTAGCTTGCCCAACTTGTATGGAAGACACAAAATCATTCACGTTGAAACATGGAGGAAAGAACACATAGTTTGACTGCCACCGTCGATTCTTGCCTAGGGATCACGAGTTTAGGAGAAATACCAGTGCATTTATGAAGAACTAAACTGATTATGAGGAGCCACCGTCAGTATTGTCACCAGAAGAAATTTGGAACAGAGTTAGGAGTATACCTAAGGTAACAGAGTCTCCAATGTCTAATAAGATACCTGGTTATGGTGTTACGCATAATTGGACTAAACAGAGCATATTCTAGGAGTTACCTTATTGGAAGCATAATCTTCTTCGGCATAATTTGGATGTTATGCATATCGAGAAAAACTTTTTTGATAACTTGTTTAATACTGTAATGGATGTCAATAACAAGACAAAAGATAACTTGAAGGCAAGGATGGACTTGAAGGAATATTGTAGGCGAAGTGAGCTGTACCTGACATACTTGAACAACAAAGATTCAGAAGCCCAAGTCTAGTTACACATTCACTTTGGATGAGAGAAGAGAGATTTGTGATTGGGTTAAGAATTTGAGGATGCCTGATGGATACACGTCAAACATATCCAGGTGTGTTGACATGAAAGAAGGGAAGTTGACATCTATGAAAAGCCACGATTGTCACATTTTCCTCGAATCTTTGATGCATGTTGCACTCAAAGCCTTGCCTGATAGAATATGGAAACCCATTACTGAGATATATTTATTTTTCAAGGAGTTATGTTCTAGCACATTGAAGGTGGAGAACCTAGCTTACATGGAGAGTAACATTTGCATAATTTTAAACAAGTTGGCAAAAAAATTTCCTCTTGGATTTTTTGATGTAATGGAATATCTTCCAATTCATCTTGCGCAAGAGGCACGACTTGGAGGGCCAGTTCAATGTAGATGGATGTATCCTTACGAGAGGTAACAATTTTAAGTTATTTTCCCTTGACGTGTTTTTATTAAACATTATTTCATCTAAAGATTGTGTTATGTAGGGCGATTGGGAAATGTAAGCGGACCGTGAAAAATAGATCCAGGATTGAGGGATCGATATGCGAGGCACATCTGGCTAAAAAAACTTCTTTTTTCTGTTCATATTATTTTGAACATGATGTGCCATGTTTGAGAAATAGGCCAAATCAGCATGATGATGGAGGCATTACTGATCCTTTGGCCCCACCATTTTCCATATTTAATCAACCGGGTAGAGGTCCAAAAACTACTAAAAAGAGAAATCTGACTGAGATGGAGAAAAAGTCTGCTACAACACATGTGTTGTTGAATTGTCCGGAGGTCCAACCTTATTATAAGTAAGTCTTAATTTATATTAAAGACGATTATCATAAGATCAAAGTTATTTTAACTAACTAAAGTTGTAATTTTGTCAGAAGTTACTTTATAGGTATAAATGAGCATGATGCTGTTTATCCAAGATTTTCGGAGTGGTTTAAGGAGTTTGTAAGTTTTATTTTGTGGGTACAAATTAATTACATGTATATTTCAAATTCTAACTTTTCTTTAACTCTATATAGGTTTATAATCCAGCCAATGGCATAAATGACCCTTTTTTGCGTGATATAGCTTGGGGACCTGACCTAAAAGTCAGAATGATGTCTAAGTACTTTGTTAATGGATACAAGTTTCATACAGAAGAATGGTCTAAGAATAAGAGAACCAATAATAGCGGGGTGTGGGTAAAGGGTGATGGAGATGTTGATTATTATGGTGTGCTCCGAGAGATTTTAGAACTAGAGTATTTTGGTTGGCCGAAAAAAAAAATGGTTCTATTTCAGTGTAAGTGGTATGATCCAATACCTACTAGAGGTACAAAGGTTCACCCTCAGTACAAAATAATTGAAATTAACCACACGAAGAAGTATGAATTCTATGATCCATTTATCATTGCACAAAATATGAAACAAGTGTATTATGTTCCTTATCCTTTGTGCAAGAATAAGTCCTCATAGAGGATAGTTATAAAACAAAGCCCGTAGGTAGAATAGAAGTTGAGGATGCACTAGAAGTCGCGTACCAGAATGACATTTCAACTATTCAAGAAAGGGTTGATGATGAATTAGTGGGTGAATTGCAGCATAGTGAAGGCATTTATGAAGAATATAATCCTTCGGTCCTTACTCGTAGATCAAATCGACACAATTTTAGGGAAGGAACATCCGGGGAAAACATAGAGGAAGATCTAGACGTTGAACATGAAACAAGCGAGGAAGAATCATTTGATGAAAATGAAACAAGTGATGGAGAAGAATTACTTGATGAAAATAAAATAAGTGATGATGAAGAATTAAATGATGAATATCAATCAAGCAGCGTGGATTGACATGTTGGTTTTTTTTCATTATTCATTTAATATGTTGAAGAATTACTTTATATTTGTTATATTTTAATATATTTTATTATTTGCTTATATTACACAGATGGCACCTGGTAAAAAAAAGAAGACAAGACATGATTTCCAACATCCTCAACATACTTCAGGTCCCACTACCTCGTCTGTGCCATTTATGAGTCCTCCTCCGGATCATCATCATCAAACTTCAGGTCCCACTACCTCATCTGTGCCATTTATGAGACATCATCCTCCTCCTCCTCAGCAGACTTCATTGCCACCTGGCTTTTTCACTTTGCCCCCTTGTGATCCAGTTAAATATAAGCCTATCTCTAATTCACATAGCATGCACACTATACCATCTTATTCGCCAGCTTATCGTACTAGTCAGCATGGTGACTCCTTATTTATGCCTCCGTCATCAGTGACTCCAACCCCAAGCTATCATGTTAGTCAGAATGGTATGGCTCCATCTTCATCTCCATCATCATCCACTCCTAGCGTTTCTAGGCCGCATCTTGGAGGCTCTACTGTACCATCATCCCCATCCATTGATACATATACACCTGCTCCTGATGGTGCACAAACTCGGACTTTTGAAGAGATTGTAACATACGATTCTCTTCACAGAATTGATTATCATTCCTGATGGGACTACTGGGTAAGTAGTTACTTTATATTCGTTTGAATTTTTGAATATACTTTTAACATATGTTAATTTTAATCCAGGTTTGTTCCTTCCAATGAATCTACGAAGGTGGTTGTGGATTGTGTTAAAGCATTTTATCGAGATGCTTGGAGTAAATGGTCAGATATTCCGTACATTTACAGAGATCAGATGTGGAATCAATTTAGGGTACGAAACCAATAAATTTTATATTATTTATCAAATTACTCTTATTTCATCTAATGTTTTAAATTATTTTCAGACAAGGTGTGCATGGCTTCCCAAATATCATCAACAAATAAGTCATAATTTCGAGAAAAAAGGTAGTGATAGGCTTAAAAATATGTTGTATAAGGCTCGACTCGAACAAAAGATGCCTAGTTGGATACTAAAAGACATATGGAATAGACTTAATGTGATTTGGGCCTCTGAAGAATTTAAGAAGAGGAGCAACGCTGGAAAGGCTGCTCGGGCCTCCAATACGGGTGGCTCATTGCACACTGGAGGTTCAGTTAGTATGGAGACCCATCGAAGGAGAATGGTAACTTTCTTATTATATTTGCTTTGATTTTAACTATATGCGATTGAACTTTATCTAACTTAAATTATTTTTTCAGGAAAAGGAAAAAGGGAGGCGAGTTATTCCGTAGGTTGTCCTACAACATTGTTGTCTGGTGAGACGAGTTATTCGCAGGATCATGAAGAGGTGGAAGCATTACGAAAAGAAGTTGAAGAGTTGAAGGAGGAACGGAAAGAAGATCGTGCAAATTTTAACAAATTGTAGAGTCTAGTTGAGAAACTTATGAGCATGCATCAAGTTGATCCTTTGAATGACGAATATGACGGGGATAATGAGTTTTAGTTTATCGTGGTTGTGATGTTTAAGACATTATTATTTGTTATGATTGGTTGTTTAGACTTGGTAACTGTTTAGACTTGACTATGATTGTAATGTTAAGATTTGATTGAATGGTGCTTGGATGTTTAACTTGTGTTAGGATGTTTTAGTTACAAATATTTATTTTTTCTTTAATTGTTTGTATTTCATGTGTTTGATTAGTTGAAATGGTGGATTAATTAGTAGAAATGGTGGATTGATTCTTTAGTTGCTGTAATTTTGAATTGACAGGTGGTATTGTTTTAAAATAGTCGAAATTTGTCAAAATATTTGTAATTTTCCGACTGAATTCTGACTAAAGTCATCGTAAAATGCTTTAAATCTTTCCAGAATTATAACATTCTGCGACCGCAGCAGTGGGAAAATTAAATAAATAAATAATATTAAAATAGTTTTGCGACCGCAGTAGTGGGAAATATAAATAAATAAATAATATTTAATTAGAATTGCGATTGCATTAGTGGGAAAGCTTAAATAAAATTAAAATATTTTTTGATATTTGCGACCAATATGGTAGGAAAGATTATATAAAATTATAATTATTTTTAAGTTTTGCGACCGAAGTGTGGAAAATATAATATAAAATTAAAATTGAATTTAAATACTTTGCGACCGCGTCAGTCGGACAGTTGACAACATGTATTAGTCCTTTTCTATTTTCTCTTTCTGACCGATGTAGTCGCAAATTACAGACAGATTCGGTCGCAAACTATTTCAAACCAGCTATTTTGCGACCGCGTTATTTCAGTCTGAATGTGGTCGAAAATTAGCATTTTCTGACCGCATGCCGACCGTATTCGCAGTCAGAAAATAGCTATTTTCTAGTAGTGTCAAGAACTTGCTTAAATGAGATGGTTTGATCGAAGTGGGAGTGACAGAGTAAGGCATAGATTATGTGGTAGGATAACCACGTGGTTTGAGAAAGTTTAGGGCGATTTGGGAATCGTGATGGAAGGTGATTTGGTCTACGAACTTTATTTGGAATAGTGGCTACTGTACCGAGGGAGATTGGATATGGTAGAAAAGAGTTTGCTTGAAATAAAGAGGGGTGTGAG